ATAATTCCTTTATATCATATTCTTCTATTTCAGCTTAAAGTCACAATTCAAGTTTTGTTTCTAACATTCCTAACATTAGAATAATGCAGAAACACTGCCCTATGGGTGGCTGTTTGTGCTAGTAATTACTAATCGTAGTTTCATACCTTATTGAAAACAAAATTTAGAAAAAGTGAACATTTTTAAAAAAGAATTTTTCTGGGAATTACTGCATGGGAAAAGTATTTGGATTGTACTGATATAAACTGTAATGTTTTGTATATTAAAAGTAGTATCCTTTATTGAAAAAATAAGTTTTTTATAAGAACTCCATTTTTTAATACTAGATTTACAAATTATATTAATAAAGATATATTCAAACCCTCATGTTCAGTCATAGTGAAAGTCATGTTCTTGTTGTTAGGAGAGTACTTTTATTTAAAATTGTGTTCTGTGACAAAGAAATGGTTGTTGAACATACTGTAATTTTTCTAATTGTCTGGATCTTGAATACCCAAAGTATGAACTTTTTTTATGGATTTTTGTTTGTGGTGCCATTCAATAGATGACACAACATTGTATTTATTATTTTGGCCACATACATAGGTAGATACATGTACACTTGCTTTGTCCACTCTTGTAAGATAGTAACTAAGCTTATCATTAAATATACTGTGCTTATCAAATCTGATGGATATATCTGTTAAACCTTATTTAACTTATTATGCTCTAACTATTTTTTCACCCTAGCTGTTCTATAAATTTTTCATACCCAGTTTTCTAAACACTCTCACTACTTTGCAAATTTAGTCTAAACTATCTTTTGTAAAACAACTTTTCCAGAGATCCTGCTACCTAACCTGCTTAAGTGGAGCCCATCTCATGAAACTGCCCTACAAGTACTTTCCACCCATCTATTGCTCTAATCATATTCCTAGTATTCTTTAATTTCATGAATGATAAAAATGAGCTCAATTTCTGGGTAGGAAAGCATGTTTGGAAAATTTTATCTGTCTTTTAGGGCAGATAAAATACCAGAAAGTTAACTAAACCTGCCTTTATAGTTCTAACTTTTTTACTTCTTCAAACCCTTGTAACAAAACCAGGATCCTCAATATCACCATCTCCCAAAGCAGTTCTACTCTAACAATCCAGTTTCTCAGACTCCTGTCTTGGTTTCTTGATTTCTGCTCCTAGAATGCTATTATTCTCTCAATTTTTTATAGAGCTATCTGTAACATATCCTGTGTAATCTAGCTCTACAGGTGCAATGTACAGTAACTTTGTAAGTCTGACAGAAGGGGGAATAATTTGTCACTCATTTATTCAATTTTCTTGTGAATCCTGTGGGAAATAAGGTGATTTCAGACATAGGTGTAACTTTCCTACTTCATATTTAATTGTGGTTGTTTGCTTAATGGTTGGTGTTAAAGAGAGTATAGCTTACTTAAGTCTTTTTGAATAAAAAAGAACATGTAAACTTTTTTTTAGAAGTGACTCATTTGAGGGTTTATTAGAAAATATTTTCATTTTATTGAAATATAATGTTGCCGCAATCTGATTTGAATTGTCTGTTGGGTGCCCTCATTGTCAATGATATTAATTAATCTCATGAGGTTCAGCTAGCTTATGATATTGAAAGTAGGTGAGTCCTAAATCTTTATACTGAGTTGACTAGGTAAAATAATTTTAATAAATGTGAAAAATAAAGATAATCAGTGCTCTAATAAGATTTTGACGTACTGAGTATTTTACTTGAAAGAAATTGCAATGCTGAAAATGAAAAATTGGTGCTGAAGACTTGTGTATTTTCTGGTTTCAGTGACTATTCATTGTCCAACACCTGACATTTTGCTGCTGTTTTGCTGTATTAACTAGGTGCTTGCTGTTCTTATTTCTGTATGAATATCCTATTAAGAATCTACTGAGGCAATTAGAGTATAAAATTAATGCAGTAAAATTAAGCTAGTACAATTTTTGGTTCTACAGTAATCCAAAGCTACAGGTAATAACTGTATAACTCATTAGTGAGTTTTCTTTGAGAATGATCTCCCATGCTTTGTCTTTGTCTTGTTACCAATACAAGTTTTTTTTTCTTTTGAACTGATGAATAAACATGTGTGAATGATAAGTACTGGCAAGTACTTTGCATTAATGTTTTTTTTTTTTACATGGATATGCATATTATCTGGAGCACTGAATAATCTTCAAAATGATTTCAAACACTATAAACATTTCAAACACTTTACTTATAAGGTCTGCAGAACTTACAAATATATATAAAACGTGTATAGATTCATAAGTATTAGTGCATTTTCAGTGTTGAAAATCCAACAACAAAAACTAATGAAAGACAGAGGAAACACTAAATTGTTGGATATACAAGACTGTTCAGTTTAAGAGTTATTATTTAGTTTATTTAGTGATCTAATATTTAATGATGTATTTTGTTTTCATAATAAGAGTGTTAAAAGTTAATTATTTTAAAGGCAATAGTTATGAGAAGATTCATTATGTAACTCTGTATGAGTCATACATTGTGTATGCAGTTTACTTGTTGTACTAGGCTTTTGTAATATTGTTGATGTCCTCTTACTCGAAGCTTCTAAGTCTTTCCAGTTATGTTTAATACTGATGTTACTAGAGAGCTAGATATTTCTAAGTTTTTCTTATATGTTATATAAATATGTGCAGATACAGCAAGGAAGAAGTAAATAAATTAGTGATAGTAAGATAAAGTTAGTGAAAGAGATAGATCTAGACCGTGTTTGCAACTTTAGTCATAAAGAGTGTATAGTGGCATCTTTTAAAGTGATATAATTGCAGATTGTATTGTAAGAAACAGAGTAGAGAAGAATGATTCATCCTGTCAGTTGGCTTCTAAAATAAGTGAACCAACCTGTATGGACTTTTGATGTAAAAGAAAATTACTTAAAGCTCTGTATACAACTGTGGTAACCCATGGGGTAAAGTAACTGAACTTATCACTAATTATATTGTGATAACATAGTAGAAGAGAATAATTTGTGTTGTCAAAGGGTGTTCTAAATTAATTGAACCCGCCTGTGTGGATTTTGACGAAAAAGAGACAATCATTTAAAGTTCTGAATACAACTGTGAAAACCAATAGTGTAATGAATTTTTGTACATACGTTTGACTTGTTTTGAATATATTATTTTAAAACAAGTGGATTGTGTGCTGTCTGTTTATTGTTCAAATTTATCACAAGTCACAGACATACTGCAAAGAATCCTGGTCCTATAAAAACTTGATGTAAATATTATAAATAAAAGAACACTATCTGCCTATTTGGAGAATTATACCAGTGTTCTGTCATTAACTTCCAAAAGAAAATGTGGTACCAGTTTAAACAAGTCTATATGTAATCTTCCCAACAACTCTGAGTAACACCAATGAAAAATGGTTTGTCAGTGTGCTTTTCAGCCAGTAGCTGTTAATTTATATATATGTTGACTGCTTTAATGAAGTAAGCATGTTAGCTTATTTTTCTTTGTTATATTGTTTATTTATTTATTTGTTTGTTATATTGTTTATTTATTTATTTGTTTGTTATAATGGTTTATTTACACTCTGCTACTCAAATACTTATTGCTGTATATTGGGGTCAGTTTTTGATTAAGCTGCATTATTTCATGCATGTGGGCCCGGTATGGCCAGGTGGTTAGGGTGCTCGACTCGCAATCTGAGGGCCACAGGTTCGATTCCCCGTCACACCAAACATGCTCGCCCTTTCAGCCATGGGGGCGTAATAATGTGACGGTC